ATAATCGTTCATACAATATATACAGGCAAGTTAGGAGAATGGTCTCTATATATTTATATATATATATACATATGTACATACACAAATTCATACAAACACAAATTCATAAATAGAATACAAAACAAGAATATAAACAGTTATGGTTTAGCAATTTCATCCCTGTAAACATTGCATCTTACGTTCCCAAATATGCAAGCAATTGTATCATTTCGTTAACCACTGTGCGTTAAATGAATGCACTTATTTCCAGTGCCATGGTACACAGGATTTCGGTGATTTAAATATAAACTGTAAGTCTTCAACGCCATGACATAATTTAGAAATGTCCTTTAAGAGCTACTGAGAAAATGATACGCCCATTTTCATAAATTGAATGGTTATTTCCTAATAAAATAAATAAAATAAACTATAATATCCGTGAAGTCGCCTTTAAGTTAAAGTGGACCTATCATGCTATATTTGAATAATATAGTGTAGGACCATACCTATATCAGGCATATTTATACTTTTTATTTTTCAAAATATCAAACAGATCATGCATTTTAGCCATTCCTCATTTCGCTCAATTTAACACTGTCTTTGCATGGGCTGATTCTGTGAGGACAGCACCATCTACAGGCCTGGCATATGTACTACAGCGTCTCCAGCGCTTTCGAACGGCAATGTCCGTGGCTGTCTCCTCCTGATTGGTGGAGTTGGCCCAATAGCCGTAGCTCCACTTCTGTGACGTCATAGAAGTGTTCAAATCTGGATCAGTCTGTATCAGATCCATTGCAGCCCCTTTTTAAGAGATTTGGGTATGGAGGAAAATAGAGAGGGTTGTGTTTTCTGACACTTGGTGAGTTCCCTGGAACACCGGGGACAAAGTATAAAAGACGTACAAAAGTGCATTTTGCATGATAGGTCACCTTTAACTAAATTCAAATATACTGTGTATTGCCTTGCAGGCCCAAAATCATAATGACACATTTTAATCTAGCAAACTATTGAAGAAAACATTTTGTTCCATTACACTGCAGAATGTAGTGTAGCACCGTTGGTTTGATACACACCACCAAAGTGAAAGTCCACTTTGATGTGCTCATAAGTAAGTTCTATGCAGTAGCACAGTCCATCTAACAAATGGAAAAATACTTTCCTTTGAATTTTATGTAAAAGAAGAGTGCCCTGGTCCAGTTATCTGCTCCACCAATATGTTTTCTAGCAAAATAAAAGGACACCTTAATGGAAAGACAAGAGCCTGAGATATTATGCTGCCCTGATGGAAGAGACTGAAACACACACACACTCCTGAAACCCACTAGGGCTCGAGACTTCAAAGCTGATATTGGTTTTTAAAGGCTTCTCTGAAAAGACAGAGGGTTGCTCCTTGTTTGCTGAGTAAATGTAATACCTTGTGTTATGTGCGCTGCCCTCTCACTGCGAGTCCTAAGTGCAAATGTCTGTAAATATTTTCTCCATTTAGTGCCACCTGGAAATGTGACCGCGTGTCTCCTTCTGCTTGTGATAATGTCTGACGCCGACAGTCAGGGGCCTTACGAGTCTTTCTCTTTTGTCTTTCAGGTGGGATTTTCGAACAGACCGATGGACCCGTTTCACTTGTTAGTGCGGAGGAGCTTGCCTTTAAATTTGCAGTCAATAGCATTAACAGAAACAGGACTTTGTTGCCAAACACAACATTAACATATGACATACAGAGGATTAATATCTACGACAGTTTTGAGGCATCGAGAAAAGGTGAGTGGCTTGTTCTCGGTCTATTCACGGATTGTGATTACAGTGAGGAAAGGAATCTGTTCAGTCAAAAGCAACAACATGTTCGTATTAGTTTGATAATTATAATTGTTTAATGGCATTAATCAAACTTTGGTATTTAGTGGAACATACCTTAAGTATCTATAAATCTTTAGTAAATGGACCATTGACTGAAGATGTACCACACTTCCTTTCTCAAGCTCTCTTCTCTTACTCTTCTGTAGCTTGTGACCAGCTTTCTCTAGGTGTAGTGGCAATCTTTGGACCCTCACATAGTTCATCGTCAAACGCCGTGCAGTCAATCTGCAATGCGTTGGAAGTGCCGCACGTCCAGGTGCGATGGAAGCATCACCCCCTGGACAACAGGGACAGCTTTTATGCCAATTTATACCCGGATTATTCTTCACTAAGCTATGCTATCCTGGACCTGGTGCAGTCTCTCAAATGGAAAACAGCCACCGTCGTATATGATGACAGCACAGGTGAACACACTATTGCAATGTTACTGTTACTCCATTGGCAAAGTACTCTTACCTACTTAAAACTGCCTTTGCTGTGCTGCCATGTATTTATTTCTACTGTTTCTTTTCTTTAGGGCTTATAAGACTACAGGAGCTGATAATGGCCCCGTCCAGGTACAACATTAGACTAAAGATCCGTCAGCTTCCTCTCGACTCACATGACACGAGACCCCTTCTTAAGGAAATGAAGAGGAGCCGGGAGTTTCGCATCATCTTCGACTGCAGTCACCAAATGGCTGCACAAGTCCTCAAGCAGGTGAGTGAGAGAGTGTGGCACAGGCCTTCTGATGTCAGATCTGAGCATGAAGCAGGAATCTGAAAGCATGTGGTTCTCTTCCACACAGCTGTCACCAGCACCCGTTGATTCTTTAGCATTCAGTTGATCAGATGTGTTGTGATGGAAATACAGATGCTTTGATTTGCCAAGAACTTGGCAGCAGAGAAGCAGCAGAAGGTGCGTCGGTTATAATTAAGCAGCAGTGACATTCTGCTGTCAGAACAACTTAAAAGAAACTGCAGTAGTGTCCAGCAGTAGATATCAAATCTGGAACTCACCAATCGATCGTTGTGTATTTGTTTACTTCCTGGAGTGAACAATCCTCTTTTGATGTTTGGCAGAGAAACATGTAATAGTTTCATGTCGAGCTGTGATGAATTTTGAAGCACAGCTGTTCTTTCGCATCTGTTGAAACAGGCTTTGTCTTATAGAATGCAAAGCTGTGTTGTGTAGTTCCTTACCATTGGGGTAACCCAGTTTAACATTTGACAATTGTATAGCAGATAGAGCATAGAATACAATTAAAATATTGTTTACTTGTTACAAAGATTACCAACACTTTCCAGGAATAAATTGTTAGGCAGACTTGAACACACATCCCACATAGAGGCATAACATCCAAGACGCTTCATAATTCAAACACGAAATGACTGTCAGTCAACAGCGAACTGTCAGTGTGATGCATAGGGTAGAGATTGTGTAGGTGGTCTAATGCTTTATAGATGTCAGGAACAGGCTGCCGGATCCCCCCCCCCTCCTCCACTTTCTGTGCTGTCAGTTTCTGTTAACATGTGTACCTAATGCATCATCCGCTCCCTAGTTGTTTAAATAACTCAGTCCTCTCAAGTTATTGAGATCTAAGTTGACACATATTCGCTTGTGGCCAGTGTGCACATCCCGCACCAAGGAATCTGTGTCCTTTAGAGACAAGAAGTGAGAAAAGGTTTGAAGGCAAAAAAGCTACTGACAGTAGAAAAAAAGTTTTATTTTGTATGAGTTGAACTGCTTTTTGTGGCAGCAGGGCCATGTATCCAGGCTATAATAGCCTCAATAAAGTTTAGGGTGCAAATGAGGTATACATCCATTCCTGGTTTAATTACTCATCAATTTCTCAGTTAATCTTAAAGGTAAGAATGAAGAAACCAGCTCGAGTGCGCAGCCGAAAAAAATCTGCCCCTTCCTTCAGACTTCCTTACAGAGCCCCTCCTCCAACACACACAAACGTGCACATTACCAATGAGGGCACCAGATAAGTTTGTGCATGTCATGGCTTGGCTCTTGGCCATAACAAAAAGCGTGGGAAGGACGAGAACATATATGAAAAATATATTTAAAAGACGAAGCGATGTAGCTGCTCCGAGGTCAGGTCCTCTGCTGGAGGAGATTGCGGGTCTCACTCAGGCCCTTTAACCCTCTGGTACCGGCCGCCAGGTGTCCTCAATCCCAGCTGATAGACCGAAGGGAAAACCTTAAAGGAACATACACACACACCAGAGATAACAAGGCAGGGGTCGTCACACCCACCCCCTTGAAGTCGGTGTCCCCAGGACCACCGGCATACCAACCCCAACAAAACAAAAAAACACCAGTAATGAACAACAAAAATACAAGACATAAGGCACCCCACTTCCAAAGAAACAAACAATTGCAACATACAACCCTCACACTGCCAAACGCTCCTCCAACACCCAGCCACATCTTTAACAACACAGGTAAGCTACCTGAGAAGCACATTTTAAAAAGGATGGGCAGAGCGAGAACGATTTATCAAACAGTATGACAGACAATACATTACCGTCACGGCCCGTGTTTCCTCAGTTGCAGCAGGTAGTTTCACTGGCTTCACTGCAATGCACCGCAACGTGGCCAATGTCACCACACCTGTAACATTTCACCCTACTGCAACGTCTCTGGATGTGACCAAGCCCACCGCAGGAATAGCACTTCCGGTCGTTGGCATGACCACAGTCATGAGCCATGTGTCCTTGGTCTCCACACCGATAGCAGGACATTTCCTTGCCCCTTCCTCGACCCCTGCTGCCGCCGCCACGACCACCATCAACACTACCGCCGCCACGACCACTTTGACTAGTGGGACAATGCTTGGTCTTCTGGTTTCTAAACATGTTTTTGTCCATAGCACGAATGATCACGCAAGAGGACGTGGCGTCTGCCAACACTGTAGAGCTCTCCACAGACTTTGACTCAATCGGACCGCCAGTCACTAAAAGCACAGGGGGGACATCAGTCCAGACTCTGCTACCTGCCAAACCGTTGCCCAGGATGAACTGTATCCCCTCGATTGGCAAAGACGGACGTACACCAACAGCCACCTCACCCTTAACAAGACCACAGTCAATATACATCCTATGAACAGGAATAGAAAGAACTTTTAATCCCATTCCCCAACTCAGAACGGAGTTACCAGTGTCACTTTCATAAGATAGAGGCAAAACAGAGTCAACAATATAGGAGTCAAAAGCCCCTGTGTCTCGCAAGATTTTGATTGGAACTCTGACATTACTACCTACCAATGACATCAAGCCGTCTCAACGGTGAAAGAGTTCTCTCGTCGACGAGACATAACGACGCGTAAAAATAGCGGCGACACAGACTAACAGCGCACTATCGTTCCCCACTTGCTGTTGTATTTTATAGCATATCACGAGCTTGTAATTTCCTCTGCCTCAAAAACGATGTTTTCCTTCTCCCCCAAGAAACAAATTTGGAGAAAAGTCCGATCACGGAAAGAAACAACTTCGTCGTCTTCCCTTTGCAACAACAAGTCGACCTTGTACTGTCTCACTCTCATATTCTACCCCTTAACTCTTCCTCTTAGTGTCAACCTCGCCCTACGGCTGCCTTCTTAGACTCTTCGGTCTCATCGCACCCTCCTGTAGCAGACAGACGAAGAGTCTGCTACCGCGCACCGAGGCGCACTCGCCGTCCCACTTGTCGCACGGGTCCAAGAGTAGCACCAACCTACAATTATTGGACGCGAACGACGGAGTGAAATTAACTTTCACCTAGCGGCTGTGCAAAAAAATAAATATAACCTTGCGACGATCGATCCCGAATCTCTAACCTGGACTACGCCTGACGCGAGACTACGAAGTCACACAAGAGTGTCTCCTCGGTCCAGACGGTATAAGGAGAAAATAACAGACCTTCGTATCGAAGCACAACTCGATTTATATTTTAGCCGCCCCACTGGAAGTCTCCGTATGTACTTGAAGCGACCGGTCTCCGCGGCCACTGCTGCGCAAACAATCCCAGGAAAACCTTTTTGTTCTAGTTTGGTAATACACCTCTACCGCTCCCTCACAACAGGACAAGTAAAAATTCACCAACCATTGACGGAAGAACTAAGTAACTGGCAGTATGAAAACCTGCTAAACACACCAGTACTAAAACCTGTCAAGTTTTTATAAAGAAAGGACGTTCTAACGCTGGGAATGTAATTGCCTTGTGGTCCCGATGAACGACACCGACCTTCGACGACACGTGGACCTACTCAACCGACAGCAACGAAAGCTATTCCGTCGCATAAGTCCCCGCGAGACGTCCCGGGACCGGACAAACCACACCTCTCGACGTCTATCTTTCCGCTACGAAGCTACAACCAAGAAAAAGCCCTACCTTGGTTCTTTTAACTCTAAACCAAATCTAGACCTCACCTAATTAGTTACTAATAAACGGGTAAATGACAGCACTTTTCCGGGTTAACCCTCCGTCTGTACAGGACGCGTGAATCTCGTTTTAGACGTCCGTCCTTCTATACAAACAAAACCGGACAACGGCAACCCGACGGAGAGCACTTGTTCGGACGATCACAGCGGCTCCACGTAATCGTAGGGTGAATACACTAGACCTCGCAAAACCGGCAGACATACGT